AGTTCGAATACTTGGCAACTGATAATCATAACATAATCAATGGTAAGTGGAACGACTTGTTGCAAAATATTCAAAGCTCTGGTTATTATATCTGGAGAATACACAGCACAGCCAACAGTATGATCTCCCATTACATTTAAATGCTCAAACATTACTTAAATTTTATGATCTTTATCTTCAACTTTCAGATTTTTAAGTCATTCAAAGATGACTTTGTACAAAGGGAAGTGATTCAGTTATTTGCCAGAGATTTAATAGTACATTTTGAACCAAAATGAAATGCTTCAAAGGACAAACTTTGATTAATTATTAGCAAAAATAGTGGAACACCACAATTAAATATTTTAGATTGGATGAAAATTGAATTATTTTGCTTGTATGAAATCAAATCATTATAAGTTGATAAGTGTTTTTCGATTTCTTCAAAATTTAAATTATCAATTATTTTATATTCTTCTAATTCATCTTTTCTGATACCTCTTTTTGAAGAAGAAGATAAAGTCTTTCTCGTTTTAGGTAGTGGAGAAGATAGACAACTTTTAGATATATTTGGAAACACTGATGGGTCTCAATTTACCACGACATAATTTAAATTCTGCATCATCTGGCCAATGCAATTTACAAACAACGGTGTATTTTGTTACGGTCCAATTTAAACGAGCGATGCTCATAAACCATTTAGTTTTTTCACATACTTCACGAGGGAATTTATACACAGATGCATTACAAGCTGAAGACTTATAATTTGAGGAACAGTTTGGAACACAACATTTTAAAGGTATTCTAAATAATTTAAATTCAATTTTGAAGAATTGCTGTAAATTTTTCTGAAAAAACGTAACTAATGTTTTAATAATAAACTGTTAGAGATCGGCATTAGGTCAGCAAACGTCAGGTTCTTATATTAAATTACAGCCTTTTAATCAAATTTAATTTGAAATCACATAAAAAATCGTCTTTATCTTTTGAAAATATCTTTAAATTTAACAATATTCTAATAAAAAAAATTATAAATAAAATTTAAATGTTAAAAAAAAAAATCCTTAAAAACTTATTTACTTGCTGTTACTTATTTAAACTTATAACTTTTTCTTTAAAATACTTATCTTATGTATTTATCTTACTTTCATCTTATATTTATCATTTTTTTTTAAATGAGGGGGATATCGTTTATGATTGAACTTCTTAATAGTCAAAATCTAAATAAATATGATCAACATTATTTCTTAACATTTTGGCTTTAACAAAATCTTTGCATACTACTCAAAAACTAATTATTTCTAATTGATGTTCATTTTATGATCAAAAAAATAATGATAAAGAAAATTATTTTTTTTTAAAAAGCAATTTCAAAACTTAAAAAAATCATCTTTTCATAAATTTGTTATAAAAAATTTACTAAAGAAAATCTCTAAAATATTTTTATTAAATCTAATAATTTTGGCTACAGGCTTAACTATGGTTTATTCGGCAATGATTTATATACAGTTATAAGTGTATTAAGCACTTTCGTAAGGAATGAAAAAAGAAAATTATTGATTTGAAAAAATAAATAAATAAACAAAATTATTAAATGTTTAACAACATTTAACAATTTTGTTTAAAAACAAGTTCTTCTGATAACTTATTAAAATAAAGGTAAAATAAACAGCTGAGTGTTTTTTTGCTATTGTTAATAGTTTAAATTAATTTTTCTATTTTATTTTCAGTGTCATTAAAAAAATTTTAAATTCTATTAGAATAGAACCTTGAGGAACAAAGAATCAAATGATTGCAGATTATTTAATTGTAGCAAATGATTAGTAAATGATTGCAGATTAGTTAATGATTTTTCGATGATGTAATGAGTTTTTCGATGTAAATGAGTTCATTCAATGATATTGTTTATTATTAAATTGTGTTAATGATATAAATTGTAAAGTTCTATAAAATATCAGCACTTACTGTTTTTTATTATACTTTTTTTATTATAATTACTAATAGAAAATAAAAAACTTGCAAATGTATAATGTGAGATTATTAGAAAGCAGAGAAGAATACCCAAGAAAAAAAGGAAAAAAGGATACCCAAGAAAAAAAGAAAAAAAAGAGTTAACCAAGAAAAAATGAAAGGATACCCAAGAAAAAATTAAAAAAAATACCCAAGAAAAAATGAAAGTTATCCAAGAAAAAATTCAGAATTTAGAGTTCTAAAATTGATTAAATTTTTATTTGACTAAAGTTAAAAGAGGATTGCCTTATAAATACAACCAAGCAATCCTCAGTTCCATAGAAAAAAGTCTTTATGATAAGTTGATTTTTTTTAAATCAATTTATAATCTGCATAAGGATAAAAAGCATTATAATCTAATAATTATTTTGGGTTACTGGTAGTATAAATTTTAAAGTGATGATTTTACTTTTAAACAGATTTTGTAAATTTTTGAACAACAAAGTTATTGAAATTTTTTTTCCATATGTCCCTCATTGAAGAAATGAGGTACAAACTGAGATTCTAAAAGACTCATGTAGATTCTAAGAGACTTATGTAGACTCTAATATTTGATAAAACAAAATTTTATAAAACTTTGTTTTATCAAATATTGTTGAAATAAAGATGTGCTTTTTGAAATAAAGATGTGCTTTTTTGTTCAAATAAAGATGTGCTTTTTGAAAAAAATTTTGATAACGGAAGATTGACGACAAAAATATCCTAAAATTTCTGCTCATTCCTTGATCCAATGTGAATAATACTTTTAAAAACAAATTTTATACTCTCTACCAGTATTCAATCAAGTTTAAATTTACAAATTAAAGAAAGATTTATGTAAATGTACTCATTAGGTGTATATAATGCTTCCATAAAAGGATTTTATTTGTCTTTTCCAATGAAATCAATTGCAAACATCACAAAGTTTGATTGAGTGTTAATTTTTGAAATCTGGGAATCTCTATTTTCATAAAGTTAAACCTTGATATTGTAAAATCTTTCAATTACTAAAAACATGCTATTACTAAATAACTAACAAAATATATCTAGCTTACAAACCACTTAATTCTCCAATAATAATTAAATATATCTAGCTTCCAGACCACTCAACTTCTCTCTCTCTCTCTCTATATATATCTAGCTAAAAAGACTGCTTAATTCCTTTAATAATTAAGAAAATATATCTAGCTAAAAAAACCACCACCTTATTTCTCCAATAATAAATAATTTAATATATCTAGCTTCCAGACCACTTTTTTTTATATAGAAATATTATTATATATATTAATAATATTAAATATATATAAGGCCACTATTTTTAATAGAAATAAGGAAGGAAAGAACTAAAAGAACAAAAACAAAACAAAAAAATAATTTTAAATAACTATAATTGAATTGAAATAATACTAAAAAATTTGACCAAAATATTTTATTAATTTTGCGCTTTTCAATTTATTTGGCAAAAGAAACTGTTCAAGCTCTTAAAAACAAAATTAGCAAATGCAATAACAATTTTATGCAATTTGAACTGATTTTGGATTGTTGAAAAAATGCTTGTAAAGGATTGTTAAAAAATACTTGTAAAGGATTGTTGAAAAAATGCTTGTAAAGGGATTGTTGAAAAATGCTTGTAAAGGAAATACATAAATTAATTAAACTATTATTGGTGTTTAAAATCACCTTTAAATAAGCTAACATTTTAAAGTAATATTTTCTTAAAAAAATTATCTTTAAATGAGCAAACATTCTAAAGTAATATTTCCTTAAAAAAATCACCTTTAAATGAGCAATTATTTTAAAGTAATAATTTCCTGAAAAATTTGTTAAACATTACTTTAATTGCATTTTAATTAAAAGCAATAAAAATGATCCATGTATCCTTTCATATACCTAACTGATCAAAATCGTTCAATTGATTAAAATATCATACGCTACAATAGCTAATATATTATATTATATATTATATAATCTATTAAATATTATATATAATACATAATAGTTAACTTATTATATATAATATATAACAGCTAATATATTGTATATAATATATCGGCTATTATATTATAATAGCTGATATATTATATACAATATATTAGCTATTATATATATATATATATATATATATATATATATATATATATATATATATATATATATATATATATATATATTAGCTAGTATATTAGCTATTATATATATATATATATATATATATATATATATATATATATATATATATATATATATATATATATATATATATATATTAGCTAGTATATCAGCTATTATATTAGCTATTATACATATATATATAAATATATATATATATATATATATATATATATATATATTAGCTAATGTACTATATATAACATATAATAGCTAATATATTATATATAATATATAATAGCTAATATAGTGTATATAAGATTTAATAGCTAATATACAATATATAATATATATAGTAGCTAACACCGACCCTCAGAACTAGAATCAGTTTACCTAATTACCAACTTTGAAGTGTTTAAGGTCCACAAAAAATCACCGAACTTGTTTCTGTTTTATGATAATCCTTATGTCTCAAATTTTTATTTTGCTGACCTAATGCCGATCTCTAACAGTTTATTATTTGCATTATCGACAATATATTGCCGACCTCATTTTTCCTTATTCCAAGAGCTGGCTAACATTTTATATATAATATATAACAGTTAATATATTAAATATATAATAGCTAATTTATTATATATAATAATGTGCAACAATAGTTAAAGAGAATAGCAATAAATTCAAAACCATTGAAAAATAACCTTTAAAAGATACAAGACCATTTTTTTAAAGATAATTAAAATGTAATCAATTGAATAAGCAATCCAACTATAATTATTACTTATACAAATGATATTCATAATTTTCAATTCAAGATTATTCATAAATATTCAATTTATAAATAATAAATTAATACTATACATAAAATTAATAATAATAAAATTAATGATAAATAACTAAATATTTAAAAAATTGTACCTTTTTTGCGCTTGTCCTCATGTTCTTTGCGCTTGTTTGAAGCGCTATTAGAGAAACCACAATGGAATATGACATCCATCTTATGAACCATCTTATGAACATTTCATTATTAGATCACAGATGTGGAACCACCAAATATTAAACCACAAATATGAGAACAACAGATAAAAGATCGCGATATGAGAACACCAGATAAAAGATCACAAATTTGCAATAACCAGGGTATTAGATCACAGGCATGGAACCTTTATAACTATTTGTTGAATCACATTTTTTAATTCTAATGAAAAAATGATGTTGATTTTTTTATAGTACAAAAAAAATCCTCTAATAAAATATAAAAGTACATTATTTCTAAAATATAAGTAATAAAAAAAAAATTTAATCCTTATATATTCTTGTGTAACACTATACAAGAAGTGAAAAAATGTGAAGTAATGAAACTAAATCATCTAGAAAATATACAAAAAAAAAAAATTAATTTTTATTATTTTATATTTTCTTTTATCATTATAAAAGGTTTTTATTATATTTATTTTAACTACTAAAAAACTCTGATCAATAAATCATTTAATAAATAAGAACTATAATCTCTTATAAAATAAAGTTCACACAACAAGTTGCACTCTTGAAAAGAGCTGAGCATGTTCTGATTTTTGATGAAATGTTAAAAATAAAAATCACAAACAACAAGTTGCACTCTTGAAAAGAGTTAACATGAGCTGAGCAAGTTCTGATTTTTGATGAAATATTAAAAATAACAAAGAGAAAATTAAAAACAAAAGTAATCAAGAGAAGTTCGGATTATTTAAACAACAAACAGCAATTAAGTTGAATTAACAAACCAATTTGACTGATCATCATTAGGCTTGATAAATCAAATAAATAAATTTTTGAAATACTTTTATGTATTGTTTCTTTTTTTATTGCAGTTTCATTTTGTTCTTCTTTTAACATAGTTTTAATCAAATATGAACTTTAGTTGAACCAAATACCGTGATTTTATCTAAAACAATATAAATAAATAAACAAATATTAATATAAACAAACAAACAAACAATATAAAAAAACAAACATTTAAATAATCTTTTTAAAAACAAAAACTTGAAATTTTGGGTATGCTGCTATTTTTACAATATAAATTTATTTCAGTTATTTAATTTTTAATTTAAATTCTCTCACCTCCAGGCTCCAGAGCGGGTCACTACATTGGAAGATACTTATCATTTTTTTTTTAATTGTATTTTTTTTTATTTGCAACTTTTTCTCAGTTTCAAACTCTGAAATTTGTTAATTAAGGTTTTAGCAAAGAGAGGTTTAAAGTGGATTAGAACTATCTGATTGTTAGCCAAACTCTCTACAACTAGTATACTACCGCATTAATCCGATGTCAACTATATAAACTAAAACCAACAAAATAAAAAAATGGCTGACTATTCTTAAAAAATTGTGTTTATTAAAGTAAAATACCAATATCTTAAATTATATAAATTATATATCTTTTCCTTACTTTTAGGTAAGTGAAAAAGGAAAGTGAAGAAATCAATATTTGCTAAAATTTAAAAATATTCAAAAATATTAACCTAGGTACTGTTTCAGCTGTTTAGTCTTGTCAATGTATTAACCAAATGTTTATTAACAATGAGTTTTGAGCTTTAAAAAGAAAAGTTTCATAAAATATGGAATGCAATTTCTATTTTTAACAAAGTAGTTTCTATAGTAACATAGTAGTTTCTATAGTAACATAGTAATTCTATTTTAGCATATTTTTACCTAGATGTTTACATAGATATATATGTTTAATTCTTTAATTCATTTGTTAAATCTTTTCAATTGTTTAATAAAAGCTAAACCTTTATTTACTAAAAAAATAAAATAGAATAGTGCAATCAATTTTGCAGAAAGATATAACTAATGTATGGACAGTTTTTTTACCAACACTAACTAATTTTATTTAGACCCTCCGTTTTCGTAAAAAATATTTCGGAACTTCTATAAAAAATCATTGAGAAAAGGAAGATTCAACCTCACAATGTTTTGGTAGTTTTTACATAATGGTTTAGTAATTCATACACAGTCACATTTTTTTTGTTTTTAATTTAAAAACCTGTTTTAGGTTAAAGTGTTTGCTATTTAGTAAGTAGGTTTAAGATATCATTTAAAACAATAAAAAAGATGTGCGTCTTAAAAGAAACCTTTACTCACAGATACAAGTAGGCATAATGGAATTGATTTTTCAAATCTATTATTTATAATAATATACTATAATTGGCATTTAACTAAAAAATTTAGTAAACATTTTGCTTAAATAACAGGATATTATTCCTGATTTGGCAAAAGAGATATCAGTAAATAAAACTTTATTAATTGGAATTGTTCCAAGCATAGAAGAATGTTACTTGAATTGTGAGCAAAAAAATTGAAAAAAAAAATTGAAAAAAATTGGTCTATCAGAGATATAAGTTATCCGCTGATTTAAAAGAGCTTAACATAATTCTGGGACTACAAAGGGACTGGGACTACAAAGCTGGGAAAAAGGATTCGAAGCTAAAAGACTTTAACAACTGCAAGAACTTTCCGTTACTAGTAGGAAATGATTCAACCAGGATTCTAGACATTAGCTTTCCAGAATTACACATTTTTACTGTAAATGTTTTTAAAACTCTCTGTAAAATATATATAATAAAAACTATTTATATTACGTAATGAATATGAAATGGGTAAAGCTATACCTTTAAAATAATCTTCTATATTTTTAATTTTTATTCAAACTTTTATATTAATATTATTAGGGTTGTGTCAACATTATCTGGAATGATATATCTTGTTCAGCATCATATTGCGCAGAGAATGGTGAGGTTCTTGGACTAACCAGTGAGCAGGGAACAGTCTCTTCATTCAAAATTTTCAGAAATGTCAAGATACAGGTTACTTAAAGACTACCATCACGACTCATACAAGAAAAAATTTATGGGTGTTATTTTGACAAATAATAATGAAATGATTTATCTGTACAATGATATATTATGAAACTGTTTAGATTGTTATTAAGAATAGTTATTAATATTGTTAATTTATTAATAAAATCACTAATAATAATAACAAAATCTATGCAAATTTATGCAAAATACTGTTGTTTTTTTGTAAAATGTCATATTTCATCAGGACAGAATGTTACAATTTTTTGGTATATAATTTTAGAGTCGCCAGATATAAAGCTAACAATATCTGTAAACATTTTTAAAAAGTTTATTATACAAAATTTTAAATTATAAACAAACAAATCGTTACACACAAGGAATTTTTATTAAGTTTTCTATTAACCATGTCACACTATTTATGTCAAATTTTAGATGACTAAATCCCATTTCCCTAGAAAATTGATGAACAGATGACTAGTTCCCATTTCCCCTTTTCCTCTGTCACATATTACTGTTAACTATTAGCTTAGCACTTTTAACATGCTTTTTCAATAATTCATCATTTTTAAAAAAATGATTTTTCAAACAAAATTTATTATTGAATAAACTTTTTTTAGATTGAAAAATAATAGCTTACAATAACAGACTTTTCTGAATTATTTTTAAAATTCAATGTAGCTTAGCCTTTCATCTTGAAAAGACCCTTCACTGTCATCCTCACAAACATTATTATTATCAAAATTATTTAGTCTAAATTCAGTTGGTTTCATAAAAAGTAGATTGCATACTGCTAAATAAACTGCAGATAAAATAAAGGCAGATTGGGTTAGTTAGACAACCAAAATTAATCATAATGGTTGCTATGGTTATCTATAATTGTATTTTATACTCACTCAACCTTTCACTTACTATCTCAACAGCTTTTTCAAATGCCTTATTCAAAAAAGAAATATACAAGCCTAAAACTGTGAAGAAAAAATGTGTCTGATTGTGTGCACATTAATGTTCATGTAATAATGCATTTTAATTGAAGTATATTGATTAACAGCGAAGCTAAATCTAATATTGCCAGCTTTCATGTTTTTTTATTTTGTTGTTAAATGAACCTTAATGTCTTCAACATGAGCCAGTAAAAAATTTTCATATAAATAAACTTGAAGATTTAATATAAGTTATAATAAATTATATTTATATGGCGAATTCTTGTAACCAATTACTTTCAGCAACAGCATTATTAAAAAACCATCAGTTAAGATCTTTTTCACATTTTTTAAGGATGAACTTTGAACTTTTTTTAAAAATGAAATGATAACAATTCTATTTTATGCTTTACTTCCAAATGCTTTTGTGCAAACTGCTATGATTATTACAATGTCATTGTAATAATCATAGAAGTCTAATTGCTAAATGTAAATCCTGGATATCATTAAACAACATACAGAATTTACATTGAGCAGTTGAATTTAATATGCTAAATTTAAATTTAAGAAATGCTCGCAAGCTAAAATGAGCACTGGTTTAACTCTTATAAAATTATGCTAAAATTCTTTTAAAATTGTGTTCAAGTTGCAAAGCATAAAAAAATTAAAATTGAACAATTTTAAAGACTAACAATAACAAACAACCATAAAAATTATTTTAAAAATAAAACTGATTCTCTATACAGATGTTTTTGGTAAGAATTTCACTTTTTTCGAGCATGCAGAAGCAGCGTCAAATGATAAAGCATGCAAAAAATTAAGACAATAGTTGGCAGAAACTTAAAAAATATAAACTCAACATTGTTGAGCATTTATATAAAGAAAAGAAAGTTTATTATTATTAAGTTATTTAAGTAAATTTTTATACTTAATTTATAAAATTCTATTGTATTATAACTGTCACTTATAAGCGACTCTGCATCCATATCGACAACTTCAATTTCTTTTTTGTCAAAATCATCAGCAAAAATTGACAACCTGGATAGCTGCTTTTGGAGTTTTAAAAGATCTGCATATTTCTGTAACCCCCTCAAATTGTGGGGAGTTGAAACTTTATATTGTCATAACTTTTGAACGCTGAGAGATAATATTATGAAACTTAAAATTTATCGATGAATATAAGTCTAATTGAGAATAGTATAAAAAATATTTTATCAATTTGTTGCCCCTCATGTTTGGGGTGAAGGGGGATTTAGGAAGAAGTTAAAGAATTTTTTGTTCCCAGCCTCCAATCATCGCATTTTTTTTCAACCCATCATTATTTGAAATAAGTATTTATGTAAAATTTTAAATAATGTTTAGAATTCGAATTTTTGAATTAAAATTTGAATATTAAACTTTAAATATTTTCTTTAACTATTGAATAAAGATGTTTGCGCAAACCAACAATCAAATATTAATCTTAATTTTATCAATAAAAACCCCAAAAACAAAATAAACCCAGATTCGGAAATATTTAGCAAAAAAAACAACACAGAAACCTAGACAGGGGTAAAAAAAACCAGATCTAGCGAAAAAAAACCCGATGTGACAACACCGCTGATAGGCTTTATTGGCTAGATCACTTTTTTAATTATATAACTAAATTTATTTTTTTATTAGTATATGCCCGTTTAGCTTACTTGGATAAAGCGTTTACTTCATACATGGAATGGCCATGGTTTGAATCCTAAAACAATTTTTTTCTCTCTTAAATCCAGCTGCTCATATATTTGCTTTGTAATCATTTATTATTATTTTTTAATTCCTGTGCATTTTTTATCTCCAATTTTTTTAGTGCATTTTAATTTTGAATAACTGTTGCATTTTTAACATTCGGCTTAGTAAACATAGTTCGACCCGCCCCCTCTTTTTTGGTCTACTATATTATTGGTGAAATATAGGTAAACAATTGTTAATAATAAAAACTTGCTTAAATTTTGCGCTTTTATAAAGGACATTTTTATACTCTTATATATTCTCCTTCTTCCCTGAGACTCCCATGGCTGTATGTGTTTCAGTAAAGTATGGCTGTATGTGTTTCAGTAAAGTAACTGGTTATAGAGTCCAGTTGCAAGTGATAAATGTTAATGTAACAAGTATTGTTACAAACATGTGTTGTGTTTTTGTGAACTAATGAGACGGAAACATGTCTGCTCAGAAGGCTTGAATTTGAAATTGAAAACCACACATGTCTGCTCAGAAGGCTTGAATTAAGCAACAAATCTATAAAAAATGTTTCTGTGCCCTGAAACATATGCTACTTTTAGAATATCACATGTGATTCAGTTTGCACACATATACACTTGCAATCATAACATAATTGCAATATACAGAAAATAAACCATTTTCTTCCAGAGAAAGCTTGTATAAAATGCATATATAACAATAACGACATGTATAGCATGCAGCAAAAATAATAAAAATATAAACTAACAAGCATTAAAATTAACTTTACCTGGCGTGTGTCATAAACAACATATTCTAAATAAAAATAAAAATATTAACATTATATAATACAAACAAAGAAATAAATTAGAATTTATTTTCATCTCTCTTTTTTTTTCTTTCTGTTAATTCTTTTGTTCTCTTTTAGTTTTTGATGATCTTGAAATGAAACATAAAATGCATAGAATGAAGCACAACATGTGCAAGGAATGAAGCACAACATGTGCATGGAATGAAGCACAACATGTGCATGGAATGAAGCACATGTGCATGGAATAAAACACATGTGCATGGAATGAAAAACATGTGCATGGAATGAAACACATGTGCATGGAATGAAACACATGTGCATGGAATGAAACACAACATGAAATTACATTGAATAAAACATATGTGCATGGAATAAAACACAAGACATTAAATGAAATTCAACACAACATGTGAAGCACAACATGTGCATGAAATGAAGCACAACATGTGCATGGAATAAAACACATGTGCATGGAATGAAACACATGTGCATGGAATGAAACACATATGCATGGAATGAAACACAACATGTACATTAAACAAAACAAATGTGGATGGAATAAAATACAAGTCATTAAATGAAATTCAACATTTTTATTGAAAAAAACACAACATGAACATTGAAAGAAAAAATGCATGTGCATTGAATAAAACACAATATGCGCATTGAACAAAACAAAATATGTGCACGGAATGAAAAATTTTCTGATATCTTTTCAAAATTAATCTTATCAAGATATCAAATAAGCCTCTTTATGCAATTAACTTCATGATATTAAAGGTTGGGTTAAGTAAAAATGACACTTTTTATATCTTGACTTAAAAAAGATTGGAATGAGCTACAAAGTTGATTTATTTATTTATTAAATGCTTATTAAGTCCAGAATAAAGGTAAATGAAGAAAAATAAAAAATTTCATCATTATGATAAAATTTTCTAGTTTTTCTCTTGATGAGAGTCATAAGATTTTGCACTAGGTGAGATCCATACTCTGTGGTGGTTTTATCCCAATTCTTCTACTTTACTTCTTCTTAAAGTCAGTACTTGATTTTGCTTGCCTTAACTTCTTAGTATAGCTTTAATAATTGCCCAACATCGCTTAATTGGACTAAGTTCAGGACAATTTGCAGGATTGTGTGTTCTAGGTATGAATTCAATACTATTGGCATTGTAGAAGTTCAACATAGATTAATCACAAGACATAGATTAATCACAACATAGATTAATCACAAGACGTTAGGTCAAACCAAAAGATTGCATTACCATTGTGTTTATTCGATAGTGGCAATATGCGCTTTTTAAGGCACTCTTATCAAATTTCTCTATTTATTATGGAATTAGAGAAAAAACTTGGTTTCCACATTGACATATGGCAATCAACATTGATATATGGCAATCCACATTGACATATGGCTTGCCCAACCATAATTTTTTGGGAGAACTTTTTTAGTTTTATTGTTTTAAATTTAGCCTTTATGTTTTTCCCATACAAAAATGATGTTCTGGAATCATTTTGAAATTTAGTTTCACATAAGTTTCATCATCCATAATTATATTTTTTTTTTCTTCTTTACAATAATTTGTATAATTTTTCTACACAAATTATTGCCACTAAATTTTCTTCAGCATTGCTATCTGGGGCTTTATACATCTTGAAGGATATGATTTTATGTTTTTTCTTGATAGTCCAGACCATTTGTCTGCTAGTTTTGCGTTTTAGTTTCAAATCTCGCTCAGAAATGTTAGGATTTGTCCTTATTTTTGCCAAAACATTTGCCTTCAGTTTATCTTTACCACATTCAGGATTTCTATTTATTCTATTAGGTGTCTAATACTTAATTGAAATAATCACAGTACTTTTAGAACATCCAACAGTTTTTACAATCGATTTGAAAAGCAAATTAGGATTTTCCATTTGAGTGTGCAAAATTGCATCACGCACTTGTTGTTGTTTTGTTTCCATTTTGAATAATAATAAACTTTTTTAAAAAAAAAATTTTTAATGAAAAACTAACACATGAAAAAACTGTTTTTCTGTATGATAACATTCTGTTTGATTTTTTTCCCTTCTTAAGAAATCTTAAGAAATAAAGTGTCTTAAGGAAATAAAAAATATTTTACGTAACCCAACCTTTACTAGTAATCAACTAGTAATTTTACAATAGTAAACTTCTTTTTTGACTTTACAGGATTAACCAGTTATTTCAGAAAAAAAGCAGTGGAATCCAGACAATATATACTGCTGTATTAAATTTTTGAGTCAAGCATTTACTTTAACTGGTTGACAACATTATTGATCAAAAAACAACAACTGCAATTATCAATAATGCAGCTAAACTAAAATATAAACTCCCTGAAGTGTTAGTTATTCTCCTGAAATCAGAATAGACACTAAACAATGTTTTAATGGTGATTTTAAAAATTTTAATGAGGTCTTTATAAACATATAATATTATATATTACGTTATAAAAGCATTTATAAGTAAGATCAGCACAATAACTTTGTTATTGATAAGAGAAGAATGTATTATTCCACAGAAATTATCTGTCAAAAGTAATATTTTGATCACTTTTTTTTTGAAATTAAAAAAAACAAAATACCATTGTAATTAAGAGTCGAATTTTTCATATTCTTGACTTCAGAGAGCACGCCAACAGGTACAATTAAACCATCAGGTCTAGTGTAAATAATAAGTTATAAGTACTCATATTTTGCATCTTTGAAATCAAATTTTTTAATTTCAAAACTTACAATGTGATATAGTCTTTATCAGAACATGCAACTTTCCCAAGACCTTTGGTGCTATGGTAACCATCAGGAAGTTTATCTGCATTGTAGTCAGCATCCAGTAATTCCCTTGTCTTTCCCAAAGATACCTAAAAAATATTTATAACAAATAATATAACATTTATTTAACAGAACCAAAGAAGCTAAAAACAACAAGAATGATTACAAACTTCACATAGAAGAACAAATCCAACATTTTTGGTGCGCGTAGGATAACAGTAGTTAGCACTCTTAGATGATACATCAGCAAAATAGACACCTTTTCCAAACTAAAAGTTATTTTATTGTTCAATTATAGTAATTATGTTAATTTCCATTACTTTTATTCTGTTTAAATAGAAGTATATTTATGTTATAAAGACTATTTCAAAAATAGAAATAAAAATGTTAAAAAAATTTTATTTTATAAAACATTTTTACAAAATTATAAACGTCATATATACAAATTTTTTAAATTTCATTTGCTTACTAAAATCTAAAATATTGAATTTTTAATTTTGTAAAGATTGATTAAAGCTGTACCCAACACCAATAAGCAAAACACATATTCTGGGCTTAAAAAAAAAGATGTAGATTGTAATTGTAAGTTGTTGATTATTAAGATTTGTAAAATTATGTTGTTTTAGGAGATTGCTGCAGTAAAATTAAGTTGTTTTTACAGATTGCTACAGGCTGGTAGTTAGATATGTTTATTACATTTGTTTACTGTGAAGTGCACAATGAAATTAAAAATTCTGTTATTCTGTAAAATTATGTTGTTTTAGAAGGAGATTGCTACTGATAAGTTGCTACTTGCTTATGTTTATTATATTTATTTTATGTGTTTGTTGTTTACTGTGTTTATTGCGTTTATTGTTATTGAAGTGAACAATGAGAGAGTTTAACACTTTTATACATGTATTGGGAAGATAATTTGATTTTTGCAAAACTTAAAACAAAATATGTTCATAAAATAAAAATATGTAAGTAGTAAATCTTTTTGGTAAATATATGAATTCATAAAAACTATGAACTATAAATATATGAATTCATAAAAACTATGAACTATAAATATATGAATTCATAAAAACTATGAACTATAAATATATGAATTCATAAAAACTATGAACTATAATAATAAAAGCAATAGTAAATAAAGCAATTGCTTTGATCCTGCAAATGATTCCATATATGCAAAGTGTTTGATTTTAAGTATAATATAACAATATATAATGATAAATAATGGTGTGAAAAAAAAGTTATAACGCAAACATAACTAAAGAATACAGTAAAGAATACATAACGAAAGAATACAGTAAAGAATACAGGATTTAAATGTAATTGCAGGATCATGTTAAATTTAATCCTGCCTTTATGCATATGACTTGACATAATAACCAATCCATTACACAAAACAATCACACAGAACATTCCATTCTATGACATATAACATTGCATATTGCAATAATAAAAAAATTTAATTACAAGTTGTATAATTAGGAGTGAGGAAAGATGTCATTTGATGTAAATAAGTCATTACCCAATTAATCATTGCTTAACTGCTTATAAACTTATGACTAAGAAGCTTATTTAAAACTTGCACAACATCTACATCAATCGTGTACACAGTAGAATATTTTCCCACAGCAATTGGCTAACTTTTTCTAGTACAGAAAAACTGCAAAGTTATTGTATATTTGAAATTTTCATTCTTTTTTTAACAAACTTTTTTTGTTTCATCAAACATAAAACAAAAGATGTTATTAAGTTTAAAGTAGACAAAACAGTTATTTGTGATCATATTTTTTTGTTTAATGATAGTAATTCAATTAACCAATATATGCCCATTGATAAAAAAGGAAAAAATAATAATGTGATGCTTCGACATGTTTGTATATTTAAAAAAATATGTGCAAAAAATGTTTAAAAAAATAAAAATTCTTTAAATATTTTAATAGACAGTTAAATTTTCAAAAAAAGAAAAATATTTTTTCTAAAAATATTACTATTTAAATATGTAATAAAAAAAAGGAGGAAAAAATGTGTAAAAAAGGTGTAAATATTTTATATTTGGATTAATTTTTTTTGAAAAAACAAACTGTATTAATAGTAATTTGAAATTAAATTCACTAACCAACAAAAATAAGAAACTATTATACTTTTTACCATATATCCGGTTACTGGAGCTTCAGGTGGTGCAATCCTCAGCCCTTGACTTAGTATACCAACCCAATTTGTTAGGCGAGAACCATGCCAAAGTAGCATGCTATAATAATACCCACAAAATTGTTTTTGTAGAAAAAAAGCTTAATATAAGTGAAAATACAGAAAAAAAATTACTATATTAAATATAAATATATATATATATATATATATATATATATATATATATATATATATATATATATATATATATATATATATATATATAAAACAGATTCCAAGCATTAAGCTTCATTAAAAGCATGTACATTAAGCAGGTCCATTAAGGGATCGGAAACACCACAACTTTATTTTTCCTTTCTATGTTGTTGTACAAGACATTTCCAAAAAAAGCTTTGAAAAAATTTCAATTTCCCTGACCTCCCTGAACGTTTGAATATTTTTAAAAAAAAAACAAATATTGACCATTTATTCATTAAATTGCTAACTTAATTAAAGCAAGGATCACCAGAAATAAAAAATTTGTTTTGTGGGAGTTGGCTCTACTATAGAGGGTTGGTATAAAATTTCAGCTCAAAGTATTTAAAATTTTTCGAGATAACACATTTTGAAATATAACATGGCTTCTTTTAAAAACCTGATTTTTACTGTTTTTATTTTTAATTTTCGTTTATTTCTACAGGCTTAAACTTTTTCAGTTTAAAGATTCCAAGTAAATTTGTTTTCAACAATTGCTGAGCAATTTTTTCTTTAACTTTATTTATTGTCAATACTTTTATCAAATAAATAAGACAACAGGTTCTTCAGAAGAAAACTAAGATAGCTTCTAAGATAGCTTGAAATAAAAGCTTTATGAAAATCTTGCGTCTTTATTATTTGTTTAATCGTACACAAATCATTATAAGCAACAGAATCTTGAAAAATGATTTGGATTTTTTTTTTTTTTTTTTTTTATTGGGTTGAAAAAAGTTTTTAGTGTGAAGCTCAATTCATTACAGCTTTTGAAAAAACTATTTCTTTTTCTAGGGTTAAAAACATTATGATTGGTTGAGTAAGCTTCATTGTTAAAATGTATATATAAAACATCTACCATAAATCTAGCTTCATGTTTGCTGCTGGTTTGTGTTCAAACATCTCAGTCAATATGTCATTGTTTGTCTACAAAAACAATGACATATTGACAGAGATGTTTATAATCATATTTAAGGAAAGTATGAAGCTTTAAAGTTTTTTTGCAAAAAGAACTTTTTTTTTAATTATTTTATATATAATAACTTTTTTTTAGCCATATACTCCAATGGAGTTTCACTAACTTTGACGCACCACAGAAACTTTGACAAATGATCTATAGTTTTATGGACATTTTTATAATGTATTGGCCAAGCAGCTTTAAATCTAGTATTCATAGATTTTAGACAATATCCACGGATACTGTCACTTTATTTCGCTTTTATATTAGTTGATTGTTTTTCATTGTCTTAATAGTTATAATATTGAAATTTTTTATTATCAAAAGTTTCTAATAAAATAACTTTTTCATTAATACAACTACTATTTGATGAAAATTGTTTTAAATTTTTTTTGTGGCAGATCCTCCTTTTGATCCCTTAGATCTCCTTTTGCAAAACTCTCTGTTGGAATTTTTTCATATTTTTTGTCTATTTTGTCAATTATCATTATCTTTATAAAACAAAATATCACATTCCTTTTGCATCTTTTATTTAAATCCAAATCTTTTTCAACTATTTCATAAGTTTTGGCTGATCTATATCAAACAGTTCCTTTTCTAATGCAAAAAAAATTATTTCAAGAAGCTTTTGTTTCTATTTTTTTTTTTGAATGATATGATGCCAGTTTCTTGTGATGATATATTAATTCAGAAACATTTTCCATAAAATAATTTGAGAATATTTTATTTTTATTTAACTTAAACTTTTATGTCAATTTTTATGTAATAAATTATGTTCTTTGGTTACCTAATACTTTTACAACTAATGTGTGGAATACCACCCATAAAACACATTTGGGCTGACATGTTTTATCATTACATAGCACTGATATACTGGATATGCACTGCCTCTAGATATAAATCACAAGCTATTATTAGCAGCGTTTGATTTATATCTAAAGGGCCAGAAATAATTTCAATGTGTTTTTATTATTTTCATTAAAATTTAGTAATTTGCAATGTTGCTTTTGTAGGCAAAGTTCTGCAATCAATTTTATGTATATTTGTCCTAATAAAAATATTTCAGTATTTAAATGTTGATATTTTAAATTTAAAAAGTTATAAATACAGCGCAATTTCATAAAATGTACTATAACTCCACATAAGTCCAGCTAAGCAAGCTTTGAAAAATATATTTTTTTAAAAATGTACTAAATATAAAATATTCAAACTTGTACGTAGGTCTGAGAATTTAAAATTTTTTTATGGAAAATTCTTGTATAACAACATAAAAAAGGGAAAATAAGGTGGCAAAGTTATTGTTTTTCTGACCCCTAAAAATGAACATGCCTAATGTACATTTAAAATAAGCTAGCCTATATAAAATTTTTATTTCTAAAATTTAACTGTGTAATGTCTATGCATTATACTAAACTGGAGTTAAACCTGATTAAATTTTAGTGTAACAATTATTATCTATCGATAGAATTATCTATTGTTAAAAATTATAAGGCTTTTATTACACCTTTTTGTTCTTTGAATTAAAATGAAATTAAAAATATGTATAAAGCATACATTAAAAGTTATTTTAATAACACGTTTATATAAATATACATACACACTTTTATACATACACACATACATACACACATACATACATATATACACACATATATACATACATACATATATATATATATATATATATATATATATATATATATATATATATATATATATATATATATATATATGTATATATATATATATATATATATATATATATATATATACATTAATATATATATATATATATATATATATATATATATATAGATATATATATATATATATATATATATATATATATATATGATACTCTTTTAACCTATACTATTTATTAAATTACTATATGTATACATAAATATAAAAAAATATACATAAAATTTAAAAAATTACCGGTTTCCAACATCTATAAAGTTAGTGTTTTGTTTTTCATCATTACAAACAAACACATCAGTCACTTCCATCTTATATTGATTATGTGTTTTCGCATGAGTATTTTGTGTATATTTTGTGATCATTTGAAACTCATTTGAGGAATGACATAAAGGCTCAAGTTTACATTGCAGAGCATTATAGTGTTGATCTATAGGGTTTAATAAGCAATTAGGTTTCTCATTTATTACTTTAAGTGCTATTTCAATATCACCTAAAGCCTCAAGCAATTGGATTTTCAATTTAAGTTCTAACTTGGTTTTAATGACTGGAGGACGCTGCATTCCAAAACTATGAGGTATTCGAGTATAAAAAGCATCACACGCTAATATAAGTCTGTCATCTGTAATTTTATTAGTGATGCAATGATCTATTTTTTGAAGTGCTTTATATCCTGCTTTAATCTGTTCCTTTGTAAGTTTGCCTAATAATAACATACAAATATACATACATAAATATATATATATATATATATATATATATATATATATATATATATATATATATATATATATATATATATATATATATATATATATATATAAAACAAGTTACAGGTTACTGCTAGTTATAGGCTAAATGTCAGCAGTGAAACATAACTAAAATAGGAAAATGTTCATTCATTACACAATAATATTTTAGATAATATTTATGTACTGTATACAAAGACATCTATGTATCTATATATGTAGATATGTATGTAACTATGTACAACATATTACGACATTACATGTTTATATAGTTCTTTTCACATTTTTTTAAAAAGTTTCTTACTCTTCAAAAAATATTCAGAAAATGAATCAACCTTTTTCATGACATCACTCTTCTCATTAAAAAAAAACAACAACAAAAAAAGAGCAGAAAAATTGTTTAAAAAAACAAAAAATGTAAGTAATAAAAAAGAATATATATGTCTTATGATAAAAAATGTTTGTTTATGTAAAAAAGAAAGAATATAATATATCTATAACATATTAAGTAAAAACACTTTAAGTAAAAATCTATATTCAATGTTATAAGCAAGCCATTAGGCAGAACTCAATAATTTTTACTAACATCAGTATGAAAAAATCAGATAACTCGGAAGAAAATTTAACATTATTTAACATTTTAAAAAGTTTACAAAAGTAAAAAGCTTTAATGTCATTTAAAGCAAAGATTTTTCCAGATGATCTAATTCCAGATGATCTATTTCCAGATGATCTAATTCCAGATGATCTAATTCCAGATGATCTAATTCCAGATGATCTAATTCCAAATGATCTAATTCCAGATGATCTAATTCCAGATGATCTAATTCCAGATGATCTAATTCCAGATGATCTAATTCCAGATGATCTAATTCCAAATGATCTAATTCCAGATGATCTAATTCCAAATGATCTAATTCCAGATGATCTAATTCCAAATGATCTAATTCCAGATGATCTAATTCCAAATGATCTAATTCCAGATGATCTAATTCCAGCATTAATTTTTAAGGAATAACTAACATTTATTGAATCATTTAAAAAATGCCAATAAAAACATAACAATTATAACAGCTAGTGTTCATTAGCAAGCAAATAAAAAGTTTTAAATTGTTTTGTCTCTCACATGACAACAAACAATCTTCATATAGAATATTAAATACAAAAAAACATCATTCAACAGATTTTTATACCCCTAGAAGTTTTTCACAAAAGCAAAAAGTTCTTAACTATTAACTAGTGAAATTAGGGGTATTAACTAGTGAAATAGGTATAATTTACTCAGCTCACAAGTGGTTTGAATCATTTTTAGTTAACTACTCAAAAAGTTAAAATTTTAAACTTATATTTCACGAACTAAAATGTAAAACACGGAGCACCGCAAGGTACAGCCCATGGTCCAAAACTTTTTAATTTCTATATGAGACCACTATACAAATATCTCTACATAATCAATGCTAAAACATTGGATACTCAGACGATCATCAAACTCTAAAATAATTCCTTACTTTATAATACACTACTCCTGGATATACCAATATGTTTTAGTTACATATCTAATTAAATGAGCGATTTATTCTAATGCATTAATCAATCAAAAACAAAGATTTTAATTATGACATTGCCTCAAAAAGGTTTTTTTAAGAAAGAATGAATAAGATTTGGTAACTCTACAAAAATTTTGAGTGGGATACTTGACAATGAATTATCTTTCAAAACAAAAAATAAAAAAGATAAAAAATAAGTTAAAAATAATTTTACAAATGTTACAATATAATGAGCAAAATATAAAAAACAATTTTTATCAAACAAAGATTAGCGTACCATAGTAAATTCACTAATTTTTTAACAGCAAGACTATTGCAATAGACTCTACTATGGAATTAAAAAGACACTACTAAAAAAAAGTACAGCCAGTTTATGGAATATAAAAGTTAACTATGGAATATAATATTTATAACTAAAATAGAATGTCTAGTAATGACCAGTAATTGAAAAACTTGGTTGAAAATCAGAGAAAGAATCTTTAGGTTCCATTAATAATGCAAAAATCTATAATCCATGAAGCATCCACATCATCACATATCTTAATTTACTACTCAACTTCAGAAAGAAAAAATTTAAAGAAAACAAAATGCAGTAATAGTTTTGGTAATTAAGAGTTATCTCAATATAGTTCAAAACTTTAGAATATACTTCCAAATATCATTTGTTAAGAAAAACACATTTATAAGAAAAAGTAGAAATCATATTCAATGGTTAATGGCAACTTATTTTACCAGAAAACCCTTGAATATTGAAACTTTTAATTAAATGATAATTTGTTGCACAGATGAGTAAGTGTTTTGTCTACATATCCCTTACTCTGGCAAAAATGTAGCTGTGAGTATATTTACGTTAACAAAAAAAAAAAAAAAATTATAAGGGTGAGCTCATTGTTGTGCATACCCATTTTAATATTTAAAAAAATTTACATCTTAACAGAAATATGCTTTACATTTTTTAAACAAATACATTTTTACACATTAATGCCTTTTCATTTGGCAAAGTTCAAGCTTTCTAGAAATTTTAAAACTGTGCTCAGACCAAATTCTTTTAATGTTTATCACAATTTACATAGCATCAATGTAAAGAACTGTAAACTTAAATATTTAATATAAAATGTTAAACTTTAATATTAAATTAGATACTCACTTAACAAAAAAGAATCTTTATAATAATAATAAACCTACAAAAATATAAAATCTGAGTAAACATGTTTAAAAAGATGAAATACTTTCTTTACACTTATCTGATATGATTTAAAAATACTCCTTAAAAACATTTTAGTATTGAATTAAGTAAAAAACCATTTGGAATGTTTTGATGTTTGAATCAGCACAGCGTGTTATAGTGAAAAAGTAGTATGAGCTTAAGTATTAGTAGCAGCCTTCTAAAGTGATTCAAAATTACATAATCAATGGTTTAACCAAACTTATTTTTCTTTTAAAGCATTCATTTTTATTGGTGATGATAGTTTAAAAATTCCTTATCTAACATCAGAATTCTTTATTGATTTTTTGTGATACACCAGAAATTGATAAACATTAAAAATAAGAATGGTGACAGTATGTTGGGTAATTTTTATGTCAAAATTCTATATAAATTAAAAAAATTACATTGTAAAATTTTGATTTTTTTGAGCACAAACACATGGTCAAGAAAGCTGAAAAATAGCTACAATAAATAAAACTTGCAAAATGAATGCAGAAGAGTTTATCTCTGCATTCATTTTGTTAAGTGTCTTCTTGTAACCAGAAAACATAAGAGTTTATTAAGTGTCTTCTTGTAACCATTTTTTAACCAGAAAACACCACTAATGATGTTATGCTAAAAGCTTCCATTAAGCTTTCAGTATATTGATTGAAAGTTATGGTTTGAGTAGAGATTCAAAAGATAGTGGTTTAAAGTTTTGGTTTGAGTAGAAATTCAAGAGATAGTGGTTTAAAGTTATGGTTTGAGTAGAGATTGAAGAGATAGTGGTTTAAAGTTTTGGTTTGAGTAGAGATTCAAGAGATAGTGGTTTAAAGTTATGGTTTGAGTAGAGATTCAAGAGATAGTTTTTAAAGTTTTGGTTTGAGCAGAGATTCAAGAGATAGTGGTTTAAAGTTATGGTTTGAGTAGAGATTCAAGAGATAGTGGTTTAAAGTTATGGTTTGAGTAGAGATTCAAAAGATAGTGGTTTAAAGTTATGGTTTGAGTAGAGATTCAAGAGATAGTGGTTTAAAGTTATGGTCTGAGTAGAGATTCAAGAGATAGTGGTTTAAAGCAGTGATATTTTCGTACACGTGAACGAAAACGAGAACGAAAAAAAAAGCCTTTCGTTTACGAAAACGAAAACTAAAACGAAATTTATTTTAAGAACGAGAACAGAATAAAAACGATAATTTTAAATTTTCGAACGGAATAAAAACTGAATCGAAAATTATTTTAAAACGAAATATTTTCGTTCTAGATTTGAAACGAGTTGAATTATTTGATATATATAATTATTATATTACAATACATTATAATGATATATTATTCGAACTTAATTGAATTTTATTCAATTAAGTTCCAATAAGTTTAGTTATGATATAGTTCGAATATATTTATTCAAATATATTTTTTCGAACTAAAAAAAATCAAACTGTAAGACCAACACAACTACGCGATGAGTTTGAGTAAACTTTTTGCTGGTAGGAAGAGGAATAGTTCAGTATGGAAATGGTTTAAATACGATGCGTCATCCGACAAATCAGTATGTTTAGTTTTACTTGATGGTGAAAAAGTATGCAATAGAAAGTTGTGTGGAAAGAACCCAACAAATCTTAAAGTTAGTTTATCTGTTAGAGGATATGTTTTCATTTTGAAACAAACGACTCATTTTTATCATTTTAGAGTAATTATCCAATAACGTATACAAACTTATTTATACATTAATTGATAAACAGATAGATAAATAAACATATAAATATACAAACAAAAAATTATATTTATTTTTTTATAGCTACATTTGGCAAGAAACCATAAGTCTGTACACGTTGAACTGGAAGAGTTGGAATTAAAGAAATTAAGTGAAAAAAAGCAAACAGGGATAAAGAGAAAAGCAGTGGATGAAAATGGACCCACTCTTTTAGAATCGTCCTCAAATCAGAACCAGACCTTGATTCAATGCATTAATCGTAGGAATACCGCATGGCCTATTAATTCACACGAGCATAAAATTCGACTAAACTCTATTATTCAAATGATAATTGCAACATGTAATCCAGTGACATTGGTGGATAACGCGAGTTTTAGAAAGTTAGTTAATACCTTGGATTATAAATTTTCATTGCCTGCTTCTGCCAAAATTACTAGCCCACTTAATGAAGAATTTACTGTTTTAACGAGAAAACTTTGTGACTTCATATCTGAAGGCAGGCGCTTCACAATATGCCTTGATGGCTGAACTAAAAAAGGTCTTACTGCGTCCTTTTTAGGAATTTCAGTTTGTTTTTTTCACTTCAAATCCGAAAAACCAATACATGCTCTGCTTAATTTGTATCTTGTGAAACATCCACATACAGGTGAACAAATTGCTAATTGTTTTGAAAAATGCTTAAAATATTGGAATATTTCCAGAGAAAAAATATTGCTTGTTATTTCGGACAATGGAGCAAACATGGTCAAAGGCCTAAAGTTGTCGAGAATGAAAGCTCAAGCTGAACGTGATATACTTATTGAATTAGAAAGTGAGGTTAATGAAGAGCAGATAACAGATCTGGAAGACGATGAGAATATGACAAATAGTGAAGAGTGGGAACATGTTGACTTGATAGTTGATGTAATAGAAAACGTAGCATTTAGAAGATTGGGATGCATTGCACATGTTATACAGCTAGTTGTAAAACTTGCATATGATGGTAAATATCATGGCTTACTTTTGAAGGTACGTGGATTAGTGGGAAAAGTTCGCAAATCTTCTGTTGCATTGGAAAAAATTATCAACAAATGTGGTAAGACTGTGATCAGCGACTGTTCTACAAGATGGAACAGCACTTACTTTATGGTTCGGAGATTTCTGGAAATAAAGACATCTATCAACGAAGTGCTTGGAGACCTTAACATTGATTCACTTGCCAATAGCGAATGGATAATGCTTCAGGATTTTGTCAATCTTTTAGAACCTTTTGCCAATGAAACTGATATTCTTCAGACGGATGCACTTTCACTATCCAGTGTTATACCTTCAATACTTAATTTAGAATGTCACCTTGAGCAATTTGGAGATGCCAAAGATGTAGCAGTTAAAATGCTTGAAGATCTACGTCGTCGTTTTGCCGTTCTTTTGCAGCCAAACGATCCTAATTTTAATCCACTGCCATGTCCCGCATGTCTACTTGACCCCACATGTGCAATAGCTCTTTTAGGTAATGAGCATACACTAATCAGAGAGTTTTCTTAAAACTAAATTCTCATCTAGTCTAGATGATAATCATATAATCACTAGGCCCTTTATTTGTAAAATATATGAGTAATTATTAAAGTCTATACAATAACTATTCATTAGTTTTTATTGTTACCAAATTTGAGGAGTTTTTTTATACCTAATAATTGAAATTTTTTTAAGTTTTAGAGCAATAAGGCAATAAGGACAGGTTGTTGTTGTGTTTTTTATTAAGGGCGGTGGGCGGGGCTCTAAACTTCTAGCCATGGGACTGGGTGTATTACATTTAATTAAGTTCTCATTTTTTTGTTTGTTTATAGAACTAAGACTTACTTCTTTTAATTATATATGCCTAAATTATTTATAAACTATACTAAATTATAATTAGATGAGATAAAAAATTTATACGACAAACGAAAATTGAACTAAATAAAAACTAAAATTATTTTAAGATGAACTGAATAAAAACTAGAACTTAATTTATTTACTGAACTGAATAAGAACTAGAACTAAAAACTTTGCCTCTAAACTGAATAAAAACTAAAACTAAAATTATTTTCCGAACAAAAATATTACTGGTTTAAAGTTATGGCTTGAATAGAGATTCAAGAGATAGTGATTTAAAGTTAGAAAAATTAACAACATATTATGTAATATAATTTTAACAACAAAAATAAAAACTATAAAGTTATATTATGAACTTTCCTAGCAGAAATCTTATTAATACCTAAAGGTGCTTTTTTTGTATCATACTTCATTTCAACCATTGCATCTTCCATTGTTTTAACATCGCATATTAATTCTATCAATGACTTAAAACAATTAAAAAATTTAAAATTTTAACTTCAAAATCAAACATTAGGAAAACATCAATTAAACTGAATTGAATTCAACCAATTGAAAGTGAAAAGTGAAAAGAAATTGATGTAATACCAATATTGATACCATATCAATTGATGTAACATCGATATTCATACCATATCAATTAATGTAACATTGATATCAATACCATATCAATTGATGTAATATTGCTATCAATACCATATCAATTGATGTAAGATGGATAACTAATATCAATACCATATTAATTGATATATCATTTTATTTTTAATTGAAAAAAATATATGTATATAATATACATACTTAACAAAAAATTAAAAAAAAGATGTTCAAGTTTAAATTTATTTTTAAATATTTATATTTAAACAAATATGTAATTGTTACAGCAATAAATATTACTATTACTAAGTCATCTTTAAGTTTTTAACTTTACAAATTATTTTTTAATTAAAGCTTATGATGAACACAAAACCAATTTTTTTTTTTTTTTAATCGTTTTACTATTAAACAAAAATATATTTAAATATATATTTTAGCATATATATAAAGAAAAAAACTTCACGAAAAATAAAAATTAAAAAGATTTAACAAAAATATGCTTTGTATATAAAAAAAATTTTCATTGAGGTAAATAAAATGACTTATTCAATACTTTTTTTAAAAAAATTAATAAAAACAAAATTATTAAGCAAAGTATACCTGCAATTTTTTGTGAAGTGTGGATTCAGGTATAGACTTTTTGATATCTGTTTGAGGAGCGTCCACTTGGTCCTTTGAAAATTTAAAACTTTTTTGATTATTTAAAATCTGTAAAAACTTAAATACAATTTTTTATAAAACTTTTATTAACTTATCACCATACACTAAAATATATTTTCCACACAAAAGTCCATATTACAGTGGGTTCAAACAGTCTATATGCCTCTTAAAGTACTGTATGACATGTGTATATACATATATATATATATATATATATATATATATATATATATATACATATACATATATACATATACATATATACATAATATATATATATATATATATATATATATATATATACATATACATATATACATATACATATATATATATACATATATATATATATATATATATATATATATATATATATATATATATATATATATATATATATATATATATATATATATATATATATATATATATATATATATATATATATATATATATATATATATATATATATATATAGATAGATAGATAGATAGATAGATAGATAGATAGATAGATAGAGAGAGATTGCATTATTTGTAAGATTATCAAAGTTATTAGTATTAAGAAGGCTTGCTTTTTTTCACAATTTTGTTCACTGTACCATGTTTATTTTTCAAGTCAATTAAAACTGATTTTTTAATAGGTACACCACTGAAAAAGACTATTATAAAAATTTTTACTTTTACTAGGTACAGCAATGAAAAGACACTATGATAAAAAGGACAAGGTTTTATATTGTTATCCAGACACTAACTACAAAAGACACACTAACAATGAGACAAAACTACATTGGAATACATTCAATAGTGTGAGGTCAAATTATGACCTCATGAAATTTCCAATAACAATATGAAGCCCTAACATATTTTAAAACATCAAAAAATTAAAAAATATACTTTAACATTAGCAGTGTAATCCATTTTTAGAAGATCATACTTTCCAGGTACTTTAACAAAAGTCTCCCGATCCGCAAATTCATTTTTAGTTTTATCCAAGAATCTATAGATAAAAAGAAAAGATGAAAAAAGAAATATGTAAGTAGAACAAAGAAAATATAATAAAAATAAATATAATAAAAAAAATTAAATTATACAAAAAACACTTGTAAATTTTGTAAAAAACATTTCTAAAACAAATAAAACCAACTTTTTGCAAAACAACTGTTTTGCCTCCTCTAAATCAGTTCCACACTTAATTAAATTTTTCTGTCCAGGCAGTCCAACACGGCCCCAACGAAACCATACAGCAAATGAATTTCCTGTATTAGATTTAAGTATCTGAAGCAAAAAGAATTTATTGTTGTTATTTTTAAGATTGGTTTGGTTAAGCATGGCATCGTATATGTTTTTCCCTTCAAAATATACATGATAAGTTTCCACGAGAGGACACAGACTATCAACAGGACATTTTCCTTTAAATGTTATAGATTTCAATTCATTTGAAATAGTTTGAGATTTTTTCACTTTTGACTGTGATTTATCTTCAGATAAGTTTTCTTTAATGTCAGATTTATTACAAACATCTGACAAAGGAACACTTTGCTGGTTAACAAATATTTTAAAAACTTCTTTTGTTTTGTTGTTAATTTGTTCCATCTTTTTTAAGTTTATTGTAAACTTTTGATTTTTATAAACAAAAATAACTTGCTCCATATTGTAGCATTTGGCAGCAAATATTAACCTTTGGACACAATCATTGTATACTGTACATTCTCCACTGGCATTAACATAACAGTATTTACCTGCAAATATATATATATATATATATATATATATATATATATATATATATATATATATATATATATATATATATATTTAGTACAATTATACACTACTATATTTACTATTCTTTATCTGTATTAACTATGTATATCTTACATATATTATTCACTTAGTTTATTTATATCCACTATTTACCTAATATATTGTCTTCCTAATCTACATATAATTTATACATATTATCACCTTATTTATCTATATCTATTATCTACCTAATCTACCTAAATTTTACATTATGAATCAAATTTTTTCAGTTTTATAGAAAATATAAACACTTTGAAAACAGGTTTTCTGTTTTTAGACTTTTTTAATAATATTTTTTATAATAATAATTTTTTAATGATATTTTTATAATTAATAATTATAATGAATTATTTAATAATATTTTTTATTCATACTTTTTTAATTATATACCTGATAACCCTCCATCTTCTCCATTTTTATTAGCACGTATTCTTCTCTCCCAGCATGTTGTTAAATTTCTTTGCACCATGCGATCAAATATTATTTCAAATTTCTTGTCAGTAATTAACAACTTTGTTTTTTGAACGCCATCTTCAAATAAAATAATTTAACTTGTAGAAAAAATGAAATTTTTTCAGCTTAAGATTCATAAAAATAAAAGTTTTTTAATTACTTTTAAATGCATCTGCTATATCATTATTTAAAGAATTATCAAATTTTGTCCACTTATGTCCATCATCCTCCCATTCCCAATAACTATCTTTATTGTCATCTTCTTTTTTAATTTGTTTTAAAAGTTTAGTATCAAGTTCTTGTTTGACATCTTTCGTAGTATTCTCTTCTTCCTTGATACGTTTTGAATTTGTTGAAGCATCTATAATATTTTATTTAGAAAATTATAAAACATCTGATTATTTAGGTATCTACATATGAAAGATATCAAAAGTACAGAAAATATTAGTCATAAAGTGTTAATTAAATTATTAAAGGAATTACGAAAAAAAGATTTTGTTTTTTTAATTATTCTTTTTTTTTAAAAGTGTCTAAATTAAAATTGTGTATAAAATTAAAGTTAACAAAGATTTATATATATAAAGAGAGAGTATACTATGCCAACCTCAATATACAGTAGTACATTTAGATAATCAGGTTAAAACTTTTATAGTGGTTGGACTGACCTTCTACATATATCATTTAAAACAAACTGTTTTTTAAAAAATGTTGGTTGAACCAAATAATGCTTAGCAAAAATTATCCCAAATAAAAAATTTATTGACAACAATATGAAGTTTGTCGTAAATTTCCTTTTAACTAAAAAAAAAATATTCAAAAAAATAGTGGGTAAAACCATTAATCTATCAATACTGAGCATGTTTCATAATTTTTTTTAGATGATCAACAAGAAAATCTGACAATTTATCATTTCTTTTAACAACAAACACATAAGTGTTGAGAATTCAGTAATACTTTGCAATTTTGTTTTTAAGGGTTTTTCAATGGCCCTAAAAACAGTAATTTTTATGGCGGATGGAATAAACAAAATGAAATGTGATGTTATGCTGTTATTTGATGTTGTGATGTTATTTGCACATACATACATACATACATACATACATACATACATACATACATACATACATACATACATACATACATACATACATACATACATACATACATACATACATACATACATACATACATACGATATTGTACTTAGGTTATTCAAAACTTTAATATAACACTGATTAGTATAAACAAATAACATAATATCCATCACTCAGTCTTTTATATCTTCAAATAAAAAATTGAGTGATGTGTAATTATTTTATTTGAAGGTGGTTAGTATGATAAATTCATAACATAAATCATTTTTTAATAAATTAAAAAATTAATCTTATAAGTTCATCATATTAACTGTAACACAAATTCATAATCTTCATAATGTTATGAATTCAAGATGGCACAGAAAACCTTATTGTCAGATTATAAAAGTCAAAAAGTCATTGTTATATATTTAAAATCAGGGTTTTAAAATTCTCTTGCAAGATATGAGCGATAAAAAAGCAACTCACTCGCACATAAATGAAAGAAACCCCAAATTTATGGAGGATGGCCTTAAAGCATCTGGGAATTTAAGCAGAGATTTTAGGAGATTTACTTTTGGCTAAAAAATGCATAATAGATTTGATAAGGTTTGTTGAATTAAGATGGCTAAATATATTCTCAGGAAAAAATTAATTTAGATCTCTCTTCAATTATCTCAAAACTGTTAAAAATCATTTCACTCTCTAAACTGTAAAATATATATATATATATATATATATATATATATATATATATATATATATATATATATATATATATATATATATATATATATATATATATATAAAACAGTGGATAATGTAACCAGGACAATTTAAATAACGATAAAAATATCTTGCGGGAGAATGAAAAAACTAAAATTTAGCAAAACTTTAGCATTTTTTAACTAATTTTTTATCAGATAAAAAAATTTCAAAAGTTGGCACTAGTAAACCCATATTGTTTTAAACTCCTATATAAAAGAAGATACTTTTTAGCTAAATTGTGCTAACTTAGCACTTTTAATATTAAAAGTATGACCCTAGTAAAAGAACGACCCTATTCCTTTAGTTTAAGTTGTTGTAAAATATATTTAAAAATCTTAATGCAAATTGTTTTAGATTATTTTGTACATATTTTTGTACAAAGTAATGAACAACAATGTATAAAAGTGTCTAGAATTTAATAAAGGAACTGAGACTAATATTTGACCAACACCCTTACCACCACTCTTGCTCTTTTAATTCCTGTTTTCGATCAAATTTAATTAAATTAGTTCAATCATTAATAAAAATATTTTTGCAGCATTTGTTTTAAAATGAAAGAATGTCAAGAGTTAAAAACAAAACTAAGGGCTCTGTGGTGTATATAAATATAAATAATATTTTTACTTATTGCCTAAACTTGTTTATATTTGGAAATATATTGATTTAAATTTAAATCATTTTGTTAAAAAAGTTATTAGATAATGAATAAACAGAAGTATTTATACTTTTAGTTTAATAATAATGAAGCTTACTGAATTTGACTTATTTTTATTGCTAAGGAAAATAGACAACCAAAACCAATTTCTGCATATATAACAGATTTTATACTGATATTTGTTAAGGCACTTGGCCCCGATGAACTTACATTTGCACTAAATACATTAGTTAAGAATAGCTGAATAATATTTCAGCATCTGCAGAAAAATAAACTTAAAAAATAGGCTATGCTGGCATACAATTTTGAGACTGGTAAGGAGTTCTTGTTTGAAAAGTATGTTTTAGATTACTGTAATCGTACAATAACATTTATATAACTAAATATGTTCTAAAATAATAACTGTACAATTTGTATGATTAAAATAATTAATTGTAACTTTTAATTTTTAATTTCTTATTCTAAAATCTTTAAAACTTATAAACTTATTTAAAACAGCTAAAGACATTCATTCATCAGAAAAGACATCAATTCATCAGAAAAGACATCAATTCATCAGAAAAGAAGGCAAGATATTAGATTTAGATAAAAAACATTTTAATAAAACTTTAAACTGGATGTAAACTTTTTTAAACTATAAACTGGACGTAAACAACAACTTCACTGATCTGAAGAACTATAAGATGTTTTAAATAAGTTTTGTGATCTTGAAAATATTAGTTTAGTCAAGTTATTGGGGTTTTTATTAACAAGATGTCAAGATAAGATAAGGAAATAAGATAAGTGTGCATTAGATATTTTATTAACAAGATGTCAAGATAAGTGTGCATTAGATATTGGTTATGATCTTTTGACATTTACGAAAAAAGCTGGGTCTTCTTGACAAAGCCTGTCAAAGTATTTTTTTTAGCTACATTACTTTATCTCTAAACCCTTAAATAAAACTTGTAAAAAAATGAAAATAAAATAGAATTTTTAATTCAACTATAAAACTTTTTAGTTTTTATTTAGGAAGTATTTTATTAAATACCTTTAAACACTCTTACAATTTTCTTATGTTCTAATTAATAAAAGAAAAACAGAAAAACCTTTGTCCACTTAACAATCTTTGACACTTAAAAAATAAAGTTTTATTATTAATTTAGATAGTTATTTTTCTTTTTAACAAATTCTTTCATTAAAAAAAAAAAAAAAACAGAACACCTATAAAAACCAATAGTATTGATGCAATTATATTAATAATGGAACAATATTATAGCAATTTGTGTGAGAGAGAGAGAACTGTTGTACAAAAAATTAAATAGGGATTCAATTATTGCACAATTGCCTGTTCAATATCAGGGAACATTTCAAAGGTTTGGATTGATGCTCTTAGTAAAATTTTCAAGTATTTCCCTTAAAAATAAAAAATGTGGATCAATATAAAAGCTATTATACAGATTTTTATATATTCAACTAATTTATTCCTAATTTATAACTAATTTATTCCTAATTTATAACTAATTTATTCCTAATTTATAACTAATTTATTCCTAATTAGCAAGTTTCTTCCTGTTACAAAATTAAATTTACCTGGATAAAGGATCATTATAACACCATCACTGTACAAACTAATTGGTCATTCTTGGGAGCTAATTTTGAATAATGAGAAAAGAGGTTAGGGAAATCTTGATAAATCAGGGTTAGAAGGTAATAACAACAAATTAAGATTGATAGGTTCTCAATTCTCAAGAAAAAACATCTGACCCAATTATTTGTGACAAAAGATAGGGTATAGATAAGTTAAAGCCATTTCATACAAATTTTGTAAGGAAAGAAGACACTCTTATAGATATTCTCATAAACAAAATCTCTCTAATAACATTTTATCTGAAGACAACACTTATTTTAAAATAATCGCCTATAATGAATAGCCTATGAATATTAATAGTGCGCATAGTTACGCGTATTGTTTTATAGTTACGGTACGGTTCTGTATCTGTAAAATACACTTTTTAAGTAGTTTCTAGACTTTTCTTTACCGCGTGCTTACTTACAGATTTCCCTTCAACCTTTCATGGTACGAGTTCAAAATATCTAAGTTGACATTAAGTAGATAATGTTTAGTAGCTTAAAATTATAGGTAATCTAAATTTTTTTTTAAATTTAAAAGTAATTAATTTATTGTAATCTTTTTTAAATTGTAATTTTAAATTTAAAGCTTCGTGTTATAGATTACTTTAATTCTTAATTTGTGTCTAGCGTTAAAATATATTTATGGGTAGTTTCATGCTTTCACTTAGTTTTGGTTATTGGGATAAAAGCCATGACAACATTTTGTTATAAATTTATCTTAATTTAATTTTTATTGAAAATTTTGTTATAAATAAAATTTGTCTTTAATATTGTTAATACTTTAGCTCTGAAAAAAAATATGTTTCTGGCTCTTCAATAAATATAAAATTATTTGTCTTGCATGAATGAATTTTGGTTTAGGATTTAATTGTGTTAGTTTATGTTTGTCTATCTGTAATTTATTTAGGTTATTAGAAAATTCATGTTTACAGAGTTGTTATAAATCATAATCGAGTTGTTAAACCAAGGAAATTGTGGAGGTTTATTTATCATATATACTATATATATTATATAATTATATTGGAGGGAGTAAGTTTAGAAGTCTTTTTAAATTTTTAAAAAGAAATAAAAATACTTTTCAATATATATCTGTTTTCTTTGAGGTAGAATTAAAGTTTCAGTTTTTTAAAACTTTAAATTAACTTTACAATGTTAAAATGGTTTAAACGGATTTTTGTAAATGAATTTAATCCTCAAAGATTAAATTTTTTTTATTATTGAAGAAATTAAACTAGATTTAAGAATAAGTCG